TTGTGTGAATTATAATATATTAAGTGCTTGCAATAGTACCTTAAGGAGAGTGAGTGATTCATAAATGGAAACTATTCTCAGGCCTCAATTTGGCCACATTTGTTTTGATGAGGCTCAATACTAAATTTGGCTCATCAGGCAAAATTATTACCTATAGAATGCCTTAATTATTGCTACTGCACAGGCTGAGAGTGGTGGTTTCCGTATTTAAGAAAAGAGAAAAGTGCTGTTACAGAAAAATCCTTTATACAAGGAGAAGTTTCATTTTATAATATCTTACATGGGCAAAAAGAATCTTAATTATAATTCAAAATAAAGTAATTAACAAATTTATTATATCTGCTTTCAGAGACAAATGCTTTCAACCCTGTTATATTTACACTTTTCAAATGCTCAAAAGACACAGTTCTGAAATGTATCTAATAATTTTATCAGTGTCAATGAAGTTTTTCATTACCACTTGCGGTAAAAATATTTTTTCTCTCTCAAAGTTCTTGAAATCAAATATTCAGGAATGAAAATGTAATATATCTGTGCTGCTGAAAAAACTTGGGTTTTCTATCTTTCCAAAAAAGGAAAACTTAATAACAGAAATTTTGGTCCTATACAAGTGTTAATTTATTTTATTTAATGATGTTTTGGCTTTTCTAAAGAATATTTTTAAATGTATCAATAACTTTAAACTTTTTTATTAAAATCTGAAAGGCAGAGCAACAATATTTATGAATAAGAAAACTGACAGAAATGGGTGTCACTTAATCCATCAGTTTACGTGTCCTACTAAATTCTGTTTCTATACTCCTCTACTCCTTTGGCATGCCTCTTGCATCAAAATTCATTCGAATTCTGATTTTAGAGATTACTTTTTTATAAACCTTGAATTAAAATGTAATGAGCTACGTACCAAAATATCAACGTTTGTTTTAGCTATCTGGAGTGTAAAATAAGTTTGCCATTGATCAATCATCTCCACACACAAAATAATAAAAACTAAACTCAATTTCTACTAATGTACATTTTATACCAAGTAATAACATAAATATCCCAATGTAGATGTCTAACATTGAATAAAAAGTAGGGAGTAGTTAAATTACTCTTTTTTTTTTTTTTTTTTAGACAGAATCTTGCTGTCACCCAGGCTGAAGTGCAGTGGTGTCATCACAGTTCACTGCAGCCTCAATGCCCCAGGCTCAAGTGATTCTCCAACCTCAGCCTCCTGAGTAGTTGGGACTACAGATGTGTGCCACCATGCCCGGCTAATTTTTTTTTTTTTTTTTGGTGGAGACGAGTCTCACTACATTGGTCTCAAACTGCTGGGCTCAAGGGACCCTCCCACCTTGGCCTCCCAAAATGTTGGGATTACGGGTGTCAGGCCACCACATCTTTTTAGATTGCAGAAACTTGCACATCAAGTATTAAATAGGGCTACGGATCTAAATTTTCAGTTGTATGAGAATCATCTCAGGTGTGCTTTAAAATGAAAATTTGCTCATACTACCCATTTCAGAATTTCTGAGGTGGTCTTAAACCAGAACATTCAATGAGGACTTAGGTGCTGCTAATGCAGTAGCATTAGTAGGTCTAAGGATAGGTTGACCATAGGCCCCAATTTGTCTGGGACAGGCTCAGTTTAGGTCTGTGATCTTGTATACTTATTTACAGCACCCCCTTTGCTCTCAAAGTGTCTAAGATATTGGGTGATAACTTAGTTTTCCCTATATAGTAACCACAACTTGAAAAGAGCTGGCATAGGAGGAGCTTCATTATTGTTTCATGATTCTGACTTGAATTGAGGAATGTTAACTACAGATGCATATAAGGAGAGCTATTACGCAAAATAGGAAAGTGTCTGTTCTACTCTCACCTCTCTGTTTTGAATTTGACAGCCTGTTTTGAATTTTACCTTCTCTGGATCCCAGTGCGTTCATGTTTGCTAATGACCTCAAAAGATAAATTTATTACTAAGGTATTCACAGCCCTTCTGAGAATTTGCGTATGATGAGAGCTTATATTCTGAGAGAGAATGGAGATTAATATGAAGGACTAAATTACCAATTCCATCAACACAGCCATCAATAATAAAGAATACATTTTATGATTATTGATGACATAGTAAATGCTTAGTAAGTACTAGCTCTAAGGAGACTGGAGGACTTAGGGCGGGGGACAAATGACATCTGTAGCATCCCTCCATTCACATCAAACAATCCAATACCTGGGCCCAAGTTTAAATGACACATGAAACTTGAAAATGTGCAAAGACAAAGATACTTGAAAATATAAGCCTATATTCAAGGTGAGTTGTGCTGCTAGACAGATGTAGATAGGCTTAATGACAGGAGCTCAGAGACCAAGTTTTGAAAGAAAATGACAAAAAAAAACTAGGCACGGTGACTCACACCTTTAATCCCAGCACTTTGGGAGGCCGAGGTTGGAAGATCACAAGGTCAGGAGTTCAAGACCAGCCTGGCCAACATGATGAAACCCCATCTCTACTAAAAATACAAAAATTAGCCAGGCGTGGTGGCACATGCCTGTAATCCCAGCTATTCAGGAGGCTGAGGCAGGAGAATGGCTTGAACCCAGGAGGCAGAAGTTGCAGTGAGCCGAGATCATGCCACTGCCCACCAGCCTGGGTGGTAGAAAAAGACTCCATCTCAGGAAAAAAAAAAAAAAAAGAAAGACAAAAAACATGTAATATTGTAGCATATTCCAAATGTGTGTTTTAAGAGAAAATTTTAAATTTAAAATATTTTGATTTAAATAAATGTTACTTCCATTTTCATAGTTATTATTGTGGCTCTATTCTCAAGGCCATTCTGATCTTTCTTCACTAAGTTTTTAATTAAGTAATACCTTGTAAAATATGTGACACAATATTAAATAAAATAGCTGAAAGAGAAAGAAAAATATAAACTACATAACAAAAACTCAACAGGCGAAATTTTTAAAACCGTAAATTAGAAAACAAACAAATAGCTTGCACTAAAGATAGAGTGTGGAAAACCACCATTTTGAAAGTCACATACTACAATTCAGGAAATATAACAGGTAGTGACATTAAAGAGGCAAATCTCATATCCAGATTTCTGCCTTGTGTTATGTATGAGCTGAGAGGAGAAAAAGAGTTTTTTAAAAACCGGATTTCTGTCTTATAGATTACTGACAGAAAAAGTTAATTCTCATCTAAACCGGTAAGGGTAATGTTTTAAGTTACAGACTATACATTTCAAAAGAACTCAAAGTTTGGAATCTTTACATGGCTGACCATTTTACCACTAACTGGAGAAAATTTCAATTAAAAGGAGAATGTCTTCTTGAAGAAAGAAAACATTTGTTAAAAAAGTATTTTCTCCAATTTCTGTAAACAGAATTTCAAAAAATTTTCTAAATGTAGACAAAATTTCAGTCAACATTTCCCGAATTATCTACATTGTCAGGCATTTAAAAACATGTTTTATGCAAGTTGAAATGAAGGCTGTGTTTATAACATTTATTGACATAATTTGATTCCTAAAGTGGAGCAACTGTTCTCTAAAGTTTAGGGGAAGTTTCTTATCAAAATGATAGATACTGAGGGATGCTGAACAATCAGATGTTAACAACGTCTCCATCCAGAGAAATGTAGAGAACTACAAACTTAACAAGGTAACAATTGCTATATATTTTTGCTTGGGTTTCTTATAAACAATACAAGTAGACTAAAATACTATGCATCATTTAGAAATAAATAAATGATAGTGATGTTAATGTTTAATGAATGACTAACAACTAAATTGGTTTTCAAGTGTTATGGCAGCATAGCATCAGAAATTCAATGTCACTTTAATCACAAATTTAAATAAAATTGATTCAGCACCCAATAAATACCTATTTAATATACGATTTATAATTCTCACTAGAAGTCAAGATAAAGTCGGCTCCAATATTAAGGGGTTTACTTTATAAGAAAAAAATCTGCTGGATTTCTAGAAAAATGAATAAAACTATTAGAATGGCCCCTGGGAGTAATTGAAAACATCTTTCAAGAAAAAATAAATAATTATATAAATAAATAAAATACTAGAACAACCCACCTTCCCAGATAAATCTGAAGAAGCAGAGGGTTCTCCCGTTCGCTCTGTAGATCCAGCACAAGGAGAAAGGCCCGGGCTGAAAGCCATGAGGTCAGTCTTCGGTGGACCCTCCCCAGAGCACACCCTCTGCCTCCTCTGCTGCGAGTATGACCAACTCCCCACCTCGCTGGAACACACCAGCGTAGGCTTGCCCAGCGCGCACTCTCCCTCGGTGGGCAGCGCGGAGCACCGCAGCGCAGTGTACAGCAGCAGCGTGAGGACCAACAGGCTGGACACGGCGCAGATGGCGATGATCAGGTACACGTTGACATCCACTAGCGTTACCTCGGCGCCCGTGGCGCCCACTGACGCCCGCGACGATGCCTTTGGCGCCTGGCTGCTGTCCACCAGCGACACCAGCACAGTGGCCGTGGCTGTCAGCGCTGGCTCCCCGTGGTCTTTCACCAGCACCAGTAGGCGGTGGCGCGGTGCGTCCGTCTCATCTAGGGCTCGTGTCGTGCTGATCTCACCAGTGTACAGCCCCACGCGGAACGGGATGCGCGCGCTGACCGTTTCTGGCTGCATCTCGTATGAAAGCCACGCGTTGTAGCCTGAGTCGGCGTCCACTGCGCGCACTTTCCCCACCACCACGCCGGCGCCCACCGACCGCAGCACCAGCTCACTGACTGCGCCGTCAGTGCCCCTCGTCCGAGGTGCCAGCAGCGCCGGCGCATTGTCATTCTCGTCCAGCACAAATACCTGCAACGTCACGTTGCTGCCCAGAGGCGGCACGCCGGCGTCGCGCGCGCTCACCTGGAACTGCAGCAGCTCCAGCTCCTCGTGGTCCAGCGGCTGTAGCGCGTACACCTTGCCGCTCTCCGAGTGCACCGATACGTAGCTCGACAGCGCGCGCTCGCCCACCCGCCGCTCCACCAGCGAGTAGGACACCAGCGCGTTCTCCTGCGCATCCGCGTCCCCTGCCGACACCGTGAAGATGTGGCAGCCCGGTGGGTTGTTCTCCTTCACGAACACCGTGTACTCGGACTGCGCGAACGCTGGTGCGTTGTCGTTCACGTCGGCCACCTCCACAGACACGCTGGCCGTGGCCCACAGAGAAGGCGAGCCCCCATCCCGCGCGGTCACCACCAGCTCATAGGCCGACATACTCTCGCGGTCCAGGGCGCTGTCCAGCACCAACGAGTAGTAATTCTTGTAGGTGGACACCAGCTTGAAAGGGACGTGGGGCGTCAGGGAGCAGGTCACTTGCCCGTTGGCATCTGCGTCTAGGTCAGTCACACTAATCAGGGCAATAACTGTCCCCAGTCGTGCGTCCTCTTTTACAGGAAGCGAGAGCGTTTTGATAATCAACTGTGGAGCATTGTCATTTACATCCACAACTTCCACAAGAACTGTACAATGACCAGCCAGTGGTAGGAAGCCTTTATCGACAGCCTCTACTGGGATCTTGTGTGCTCTACTTTCTTCAAAATCCATGTGTCCTATCACCGTGATTGCCCCACTTACGGGGTCCACGTGGAACTTGGATTTTACATCTGGAGAAACGTCACTGGAGAAGGAGTAAATAATATCCCCATTCAAGCCTTCGTCTAAATCTGAGGCATTGGGGTGAATCACCAGCGTTCCGATAGAAGCGTTTTCTGGTAATTTCACCGTATAGAGGGTTCTGTCGAACACTGGGGCATTGTCATTGACGTCCAGTACTGTGATGAGTAACTGAACGGTGCCAGTCAGTTCAGGTTTGCCCCCATCGGTGGCCGTGAGCAATAAATGAAGCTCCGGAGTTTTTTCTCTGTCTAAAAGTTTCCGTAATACAAGCCCAAGAGGTTTTACCTGCTGGTTGCTGGTTGGCACATCCAGGGAGAAATACTCATTGGGGCTCAGTCTGTAAGTGAGCAAGGCGTTCTCCCCGATATCTGCATCGGACGCGCCCTCTAGTGGAAACCGAGAGTCAAGTGGCCTGGATTCCGCGATGAACAGGTTCTTTTGTGTCGCTGAGAACACGGGAGGGTTGTCGTTAATGTCCTTCACCTCCACGTCCACATGGAAAACCTGCAGCGGCCTGTCCACGATCACCTCCAGGTGGATGCTGCACTCCGCACTCCGCCCACACAGCTCCTCGCGGTCGATCCGAGAATTCACAAACAAAATGCCATTCTGCAGATTTACCTCCAGAAGGTCCCCGCGGCCTTTGGAATCCAACTGGAACAGGCGCGGCACCAGCTCCCCCAGCTCCAGCCCCAGGTCCTGCGCAATGCGGCCGACGAAGGTGCCGTGTTTGGCTTCCTCCGGGACGGAGTAGTGGAGCTGGCCGCTCCCTACCACCCACATCGCCAGGATCAGAAGCGAGAGCAGTAGAGGCTGACCCTCTGGATCTCCTCGACTTGAGTACAACATTTCAAATACTAACTCTTCTTCTAATTAGTGAAAACTGCCTTCAAATTAGGAGAAATCATCTGATTTCGTCAGTCCCCTTCTGCTGTGTTCGCCATTGTTCAGCATAGAGAGAGTGAAAAAGAATTGAGCCTCTTTCCCGTGGGAAAAGGGCTGTATTTGTCTGGATTCAGAGAGAACATCGCGGCAAAGAGTGACATCACGTGGCCCAAAGTGTAAGTACATATTTTATGAATAAAATTTTCACAACTATTCTGCAAAACTTATTTCATTTTCTTAATTTTTCTTAAGTAATCATTGTTGAAACAGAATATCCCGTTTCTCTTGCTGGAGCCTTCTTAGCAGACTGACCGCCTCTAAAAGTTTTGTATGACCTTGATTGTGGTTTTCTCACCCCTGAGAAAACTCTCCACTTAAGTTTTAAATAACGACAGAAATGAAGTAAAAATTAAAATGATTCCATTGAGCAATCATGAATTTTAAATTACAAAATTCCTTTGTTCTGGAATTCAGAATCTCCCATATGGCTCGAAATGGGATTCTGGTGTAAGAGAAATCCAGGAGTTGCAATCTCTAGTGAATATAGGAGCCCAGAAATCTACTGATGAAAAAGAAACTTGGTCATTTCTGGGGAAAGGAATCAAGAAAAAGGAGCAACCAACTGAGGTAGTTTTCTTGAGTAATTCTATGAATTGAAAAGGTAGAAAATATTGCAAGAAAAGCGAGAATTGACTTTAAGGTCTTGCGTTGCGTGGGGAGAAAATATATTTTTCTCTTTTGTAGCATTTATACAATCTGTTTCCAGAAATGTGTTTGTTTGATTCTTTCCAAGCGTTATCATTTATGAATAATCTCTTCTTTGTAATCTCCAATATAGTTTGTATTATATGTTATTACAATATGTTTTGATTTCATTATTACTCATCCTTGGTACTCAGGGCAATTTCTGTTTTTAAAGTTATGCTTGAGATTATTTACCTGCCTAAGTTCTACAAAGTTCTCTTGTGAGTTTTACTATCTTATTCCAACGTGCAAGTCAATTAATTAAATCTAGATTTTAGTGTATCTCAAGCCTAAAGGCAAAATCGTGACAGTTTATTGTGCCATTAATGTTTTCGCATGTTTATCTTTTATTTCATATTTCTACTGATAACAGCCTAAGAGGTGCTTTTAACAATTGCTTCTGGCCTTGATTATTGCAGTAGCTTCTGAGTTTGTCTTCCCGTTCAACCTTCTTTTAAAAGTCGTGATTTATTTTGCTCCAAGTAGTTTAATAGTTCCCAAATACTTCCAAAGAATGGCCAAATTCCTTAATCGCTCGCGGCCATTTAGTTTATTGCTCAAAAATCAAGAGATCTTCTTACATTGGTTTTCCTGCCTTCATTCTCTGCAGACTGTGTGTTTTAAAAAGGGGACCTTTCTATGTGTCATATTGATGCTTTTCTGTGTCTTCCATTTTCCTTATGTTTTCTCCTTCCAAGAAATGTCTATTATTCTCGATATTCTCCCAGGGGGAAACTTACTTATTTAAAAACCACTGAAACACATCATGCCCCTTCAAGTATTTCTTCAAAAATTCAAATAGGAAATGATTGTCTTTCAACTTCAACCTCACTCTGATTTACCTCTTTTGTACCTGTTACATTATCTTGCCTTGCATTGTTGTGACTCTTATTCTTTATTTGACCTCAAATTTTAAAGCCAGAAGCTGGGTCTCAATAATAATTCCGGACATGGAGATATGCTGTTAGAAATCTATAAGGGTCCTATTTAATGTTTAATGAAGACTGGTTATTACAATCTTCTCTACTTGCTAAGAAAGCATTTTAGGCTGGACGCAGTGGCTCCTGCCTGTAATTCCGGCATTTTGGGAGGCCGAGGTTGGTGGATCACGAGGTCAGGAGATGGCGACCATCCTGGCTAACACGGTGAAACCCCATCTCTACTAAAAATACAAAAAAATTAGCCTGGTATGGTGGCCTGCGCCTGTATCCCAGCTACTCCGGAGGCTGGGAAAGGAGAATCACTTGAACCCAGGAGGCAGAGGTTGCAATGAGCCGAGATCGCCCCGCTGCACTCCAGCCTGAGCGATAGAGCGAGACTCCGTCTCAAAAAAAGAAAGGAAGGGAGGGAGGGAGGGAGGGAGGAAGGAAGGAAGGAAGGAAGAAAGAAAGAAAGAAAGAGAGAAAGGAAGGAAGGAAGGAAGGAAGGAAGGAAGGAAGAAAGAAAGAAAGAAAGAAAGAAAGAAAGAAAGAAAGAAAGAAAGAAAGAAAGAAAGAAAGAAAGAAAGAATTTTAAAAGGCTATTCTACAACACTCTACATAAATGGTCTACTTAATTCATAGAACTACAACATAAATTGACTTCAAATCATCATCAAAATATTATCGTATACTTCTTTTTAAGAAAAATACTATTAATGGAAAGAAACATACAAAGATCTCAAACACCTACTCAGCCCTCTGCAAGGTCTCAGGCAACTTTTAAATATGGGAAACATACAACTACCAATGTAAGATAGTCTACACATTCCTTGGAAGGACTTTAACCATTCCAGAAAATTTTTTTCCACATAGGTGGTATTAACTTGACTTTCCTAAACTCATAATAACCTTTAGATTTTTTTCATTCCACCACACAACACTCAAAGTATTGAAACATCCTAGGTTAATCTAAAAATGACTTTATAAAAGATAATTTTACATAAAAATAAGATTAGTATGGACGGTCATAATGACTTTCTGACATTTTAGGTTTCCTTCTTGCAATCACTAACTTCTTTTCTCTTAAGAATGATAACTAAATTTTATTATGTACCTATCACTTGCCAGACTTTATTCTTGATAATTTATAACTATTAACTTACTTGATACAAAAAGTATATGCAGTAGAATTCACATTTATCATGCATACATATAAAGCCAAGGAACTGAATAACAAATCCTTTACCAAAGACTACATATACAAAAATTGGTAAAGAGAGGACTTGATTTAGAGAGCTTCAGAATCCACAATACTTAATAACTAACTTCTGGCACATTTCAATCCCAGAAATACTTAATAGCTAAAAGCATCACCATAATTAGAATAGTGAAAAGTATTAATGTACAAGAAACAGGTTTAGACTTTCTCATTGTGAAAGCACAACCCCAAATTCAAATATCAATTAGAGAGGTATTTGAAGAAACACAGAACTAAAATGACTTAAATGATAAGTTGCCAAATACAATGCTAGGTGGCGGAAAGAATCCTTTTATTTATGATATTTTGTAAAAGTCAATTAAATGTTTAGGAGAATTCAGTAATTAAAGTAATACCTGAGAACCAGGTAGACATAGACAGGATGGGAAATATTACTTACACAAAGGAAAAACTCCACATACTATTCAAACAGGATAATAAAGATAAGCATATTTTTTAAAGTCCTTAAAGGACTAAAATGAAAACAATTTGCTTTTATGTAATGTGTTCTAATAGTCAAATAAAATGTTAAACATGGACAGGCATTAAGAGAACATTAAAATCAACTACAAAATAATTCTGCTTTGAGGTTACCTTCAGGTGGACAAAGGGGATAAAACATGCCCATAAATGATTACATTATTGGTTCTTAAGGGATTAAAAGATTTAAAATAATGCTAATAACAAACTGTAAGAATTCAGAGTCCCAGAAATCCTTCATTCCCTTCCATCAAGTTCCACCATTTCCTCCAAAGCAACATGCTCAAAGTCTAATGGGTATTTAATATCAAGGCAGGTGGAACAGTCACAAGAAGCAAAGGTAAAAAGACAAGAGGAAAGAAAAGAAAGAAAACATTGAAAGACATCAAAATAAAGTATCTTGGATTTTTCAAAGATTTATCCCAAAAAGCTAAATATTTTTACACAAACTAATGGGCCATGATAATCCCAAATATTCTGTATAATAAAGATTTATAAATTATGTTTGGTTTGCAAGAATGAAATTACCATGTATAGTTTTTCTGATGAAAACATTTTTCTAAGTCATATTAAATATCACTTTAATGTGGAATATTATTGAGAAGATTCCAACTCATGAACAAAGGATTGAATGATAAGAGTTTAGAAGATACTTGCAAGAGTAAAGTAATCATTTTCTAAACATAGAGGCTCAAAAAATGTTAAGTTGTCAACACCCCAACTGTAAAAATCATGTAGAATAAAAAACACGTCTCCAAATAGTAAAATGGTCTAAATAATGACTTAAAAGAAGCATTACAAATCTCTTCTCTCTTGATTTTACTTTTTTACTAGTTTATAAAAAAATTAGGAAGTATATGAAAACTATCAAATTTTGAAAAACACTATTATTCTGTATTTTATCACTACATTGCTTAAAACGGCAATAGTGAAACACCAAAGATATTTGTGACTACTAGACACCAGAAAGTCAGATAATAAGATGAATAAACTCAGATGTTAAAGTGAATAAGAGTAAACATAACGACAACATATTTAAAACATGCATTTCAAAGTACAGCATATGGAGTAAGATTAAGAGTTCAGTGCCTAAGGACAAAAGAATAAATGTTTTGGGGGAATACATTCACCAAAGATCAAAATACCCTGGACGTTGTTAGAGCATTGTTCAGGGAAGACGGCTGTAAGGCAGGCCAAAATAAATGGTCAGTAAAAAAAGGATATCATCCAACCATAACTTGAGTTTCCAAATAGACCCAACTTGTGGAGAATGATTAATACTGTATTATGCCACTGAGAAAATTCAATTAATTATAAAAGGTTTCTAAAAACTAAAACAATGTTTAAATTTTCGCTATATAATACGGTGAAAAATACATATGAAACACTTTTAAAGTAATTACAATTTCCACAAATAGAATTTATGAGTTCTAAATTTAAATGGACTTACTTTGAGGCCATGATCAACATTTAAACCTTGCTGTTCGCCTACATCAACTGATCCCAGATCAGGAGGAAGACTGGGGCTGAAGGCCATGAGGTCCGTCTTCAGTGGCCCCTCACCAGAGCACACCCTCTGCCGCTGTTGCTGCGAGTATGACCAGCTCCCCACCGCACTGGAGCAAACCAGAGTGGGCTTGCCCGCCGGGCACCCACACTCAGTGGTCGGAGCTGAGCACCGCAGCGCAGTATACAGTAGCAGCGTGAGCACCAGAAGGCTAGATACCGCGCAGATGGCGATGATCAGGTACACGTTGACATCCACCAGCGCCGCTTCGGGACCCAGAGCGCCAGTCGACGGCCTCGAAGACGCCTTTGGAGCCTGGCCGCTCTCCACCAGCGACACCAGCACGGTGGCCGTGGCCATCAGCGCCGGCTCACCATGATCCTTCACTATCACCAGCAGGCGGTGGCGCGGAGAGTCCACTTCTTCCAGGACACGAGTCGTGCTAATCTCTCCCGTGTACAGCCCCACGCGGAACGGGAACCGAGCGCTGCTTGCCGCTGGCTGCAGCTCATACGAAAGCCACGCATTGTAGCCCGAGTCGGGGTCCACCGCGCGCACCTTTGCTACCACGTGGCCCGCACCCACCAACCGCGGCACCAGCTCGCTCACTGCACCACCAGTGCCACCCACCCGAGGCGCCAGCAGCACCGGCGCGTTGTCATTCTCATCCAGCACGAATACCTGCAGCGTCACGTTACTGCCCAGAGGCGGCACGCCTGCGTCGCGCGCGCTCACCTGGAACTGCAGCACCTCCAGCTCCTCGTGGTCCAGTGGCTGCAGAGCGTACACCTTGCCGCTCTGCGCGTGCACTGACACGTAGCTCGACAGCGCGCGCTCGCCCACCCGCCGCTCCACCAGCGAGTAGGACACCAGCGCGTTCTCCTGCGCATCCGCGTCCCCCGCTGACACTGTGAAGATGTGGCAGCCCGGCGGGTTGTTCTCCTTCACGAACACCGTGTACTCGGACTGCGTGAACGCCGGCGCGTTGTCGTTCACGTCGGCCACCTCCACGGACACGCTGGCCGTGGCCCACAGCGAAGGCGAGCCCCCGTCCCGTGCGGTCACCACCAGCTCATAGGCTGACACGCTCTCACGGTCCAGGGCGCTGTCCAGCACCAACGAGTAGTAATTCTTGAAAGTGGACACCAGCTTGAAGGGGACATGGGGCGTCAAGGAGCAGGTTACCTGCCCGTTGACACCTGAGTCAAGGTCGTTCACGCTAATTAGGGCGATGACAGTACCGAATTGAGCGTCTTCACGTACAGGCAAGGATAAGGAAGTCAATGTTATCTCAGGGACGTTATCATTTTTATCCAAAATTCTCACTAAAACGGTGCAATGACCCACCATGGGAGGATGACCTTTGTCCGTTGCGTCAACGCGGATTTTATATAAATTTACTTGTTCAAAATCCAAATTACCCCGAATCACTATTTCTCCTGTATTTCGATCTATGCTAAAGTGGTCAATAACCATGGCTGCAACAAGGCTATTAAAAGAGTATGAAATGGCCCCATTCGCTCCTTCATCCCGATCAGAAGCATTCAGTCTGATAACTGTTGTTCCGTTGTCTGCGTTTTCGAATATTCTTACTTCGTATTCAGACTGTTCGAAAGTGGGAGCATTATCATTCACATCCAGCACTGTGACCAGCAGGTGAACAGTGCCTGTGAGCTCAGGTTTGCCGCCATCTGTGGCTGTCAGGAATAAGTTGTGTGCAGGAGCGTCCTCTCTGTCCAAGGATTTTCTTAATACGAGCTCAACCAGTTTATTCTCATTGTTCTTTGAATTCACATCTAGCATGAAGTAATCATGAGAGCTAAGCCTGTAAGTTAACACGGAGTTAGCTCCAACATCTGCATCAGACGCGCTCTCTAGCGGAAACCGAGAGTCTGGCATTCTGGATTCCGAAACAAATAGCTTTTGCTCTTTTACCGGGAACACTGGCGGGTTGTCGTTAATGTCCTTCACTTCCACGTCCACATGGAAAACCTGCAGTGGCCTGTCCACTATCACCTCCAGGTGGATGCTGCAGTCCGCGCTCCTCCCGCACAGCTCCTCGCGGTCTATCCGAGAATTCACAAACAAAATGCCATTCTGCAGATTTACCTCCAGAAGGTCCCCGTGTGTTTTGGATGCCACCCGGAAGAGGCGCGGCACCAGCTCCGCCAGCTCCAGTCCCAGGTCCTGCGCGATGCGGCCTACGAAGGTGCCGTGTTTGGCCTCCTCGGAGACAAAGTAGTGGAGCTGGCCGCTCCCCGCCTTCCAGGCTGCGAGGAGCAGAAGCGAGAGTAGTAGTCGCCGGGATCCCAGGTCTCCTCGCCAGTGACAAACCATGTTAAATAGTCGTTTCCTATCAGAAAATCTTATCTTAATATGAAGATGAACGACTGTACTTTCCGGCGTCTTTTAATTCAATTCCGCTGCATCTCCCATTGTTCAGCCTTTAGAGACAGATGCTGTCAGAGGAACGACTTTGAACCTTGGCTAACCAGAACTTCTTAGTAGACAGCGACATCATGTGGCTTCAAAAGGTAATGATTACATGAATTACTTCCGCAATATCTGGGTTCTTTCATGCACCTTCTATTTCTTTATCATACTTTAATAGTAAATCCTTAACTTCATCAGTTGCAGAGGTATTCATACCATCTGGCTCCTTACATTAGTTTCATCTAGGGATTTCTTCTTCATAAGGAAAGGAATTTCTTCCCAATATTTTAAATATCGTATCAATTAATAATAAAGTATGACCTGTATGTCATGGATATCAGAAATGTAAACTGTCCTCCATAGTTTCGTGTGGAAGAAATGCATTAATAATTATTTGGTCACCAGAAACACTGGCATATATTACTCTGAGGTGAGCATATAATTCTAACTTTTCTACATTTTATCTTCTTGTGTTCTTATTGTTAAATTTCTGCTTTTCTTTATTCAATAAATGTCAAATTGCCTGAACAGTTTTACTTACTAAAGTAATAAAAATGTATGTGCATATTCTTTACACTATTTCCCGATATCTCTATAGCTTGTTAAATTTAGCCTCTCACTTAAAACATTTTCCTCTATGATTTCTCTGACATGTCAAACTCTAGTAGTATTTCCACCATTGACTTGTTTGTTAGTTCTTCATCTTTCTTCTGCTCCAAAAAGTGAGTATTTTCCAGAATTATGCCTTTAACCTTTTTTCCCCAATCTTTTTATTTAACATTTCTATTTCCAGGGCTTTAAACTAGCCTATTATTTGAAGTATTCTTAACTCCATATCTGCAACCCCCTATTTTCATTTTCTACCTTACATTTTAACCTGTATACCCTAACATTGCCTAGAAAATGAGTCAACCAAAGTTAGAAGAATATCTAATCAATAATCACCCAAAACCCAAATCATTAAAAAATCACAATTTTTATAGCATGGCAATTCTCCACACTTACTCATATGTATTTTTATGATTTCTTTTCCCTTGCCTACCATATTTAAAGTTTGTATACATCCCATCTCTCCTTTCATGTGAGATAATTTCTGTCTTTATTAGTGCAGTTTTCACTCGATTGCACTAAAATCTTCAGCAAGTTTATCTTTTTATTGACCAATTGTCAAGACATTAGACTTCCATCTGGGAGATAGGCTACATGACCATGAGCCAATCTTCTCGGTGCTAAGGCTAACCACTTTCCAATATGAGTCATATTTTACAGAAAATATGTTGTCTCTTTCTTGGTACACTCTTTGTTCAAGGTTTTTCTTCTATTACTTCATCTTTATGTGTCAAAATTCTATTCATCTTTCAAAGTCCACCTCAAAAGTAAATTCTCCATGAATGCCTTCATTGTAGATGATTAAGAGCTCCTCTGAATTTCTACAAAATTCTTACCAAAAACGTAGGTAAAATAGGAAAGGTGAATAAGGGCATTTTCTGTGAAATGATTTAAATTTCTCATCACATTATTTACACAAAAAAATATTTCTGTAGTTGACTCTAAATAGTAGCAAACAATTTGTAAAGAAAATAGTATTTCTGGATATTTCAGGAGTTTGAGACCAGCCTGGGCAACATGATAAGACCCCATCTCTACAAAAAATACAAAAATTAGCTGAGTATGGTGGTGTGCGCCTGTAGTCCCAGCAACTTCGGAGGCTGAGGTAGGAAGATCACTTGAGCCCAGGAGGTAGAGGTTGCAGTGAGCCCAGATTGTGCCAGTGCACTGCATCCTGGGCTACAGATTGAGACCCTGTCTCAAAAATAATAATAATAATAATAATAATAATAATAATAATAATAATTGATGAATACAGTTTGGGTGGCTAAGGAGGATAAATCAACTTCAAGTATTTCCCAATTTAGGGAATTCCTATTTAGGGTATTTAAAACTTTCTTAATAATACACTAGGAAGGTTTTAAATATACATGCATGTAACCATAAAAACAAAGCAATGAAAACAGAATTACAATTACCATCTTTGAAGGTCAAAGATATTTATAGAATTTTCCACAAAACAATATTCTTTCAACAAGAGCAGCAAACTTGGTCTGCTTGTGGTGAATGACATATTACTGCTCAATGGTAAATAATTATATTGATTACCAAACAGATTTTTGACTTTGTATACCTCTACCCTTATTCACGTTGAAAAGAAAACAGTAACATATCCTAAAATGATTTCCTAAAGTATATTAGAATATTAGGAACAGTGAAAATTGATCATCAGTTCTGGGTTTTATTTTATTTTATTTTATTATTTCATTTTATTTTATTTTTGAGGCAAGGTATTGCTCTGTCACCTAGGCTGGAGTTCAGTGGCATGATAACTGCAGCTTGGAGCTCCTAGGCTCAAGTGATCCTCCCACCTCAGCCTCTTGAGTAGCTGACACTACAGACACACATCACCATGCACAGCTAATTTTACAAAGTCTCTACAAAAGATGCACAAGCTGCTCTCAAACTCCTAGACTGAAGGAATCCTCCTGACTCGGCCTCCTGAAATGCTGGGATTAGAGGTGTATGCCACCACGCCCAGTTAACTATATTTTTTTAACTAACCAAATTATTTGTAAAAATTTTTTAAAAGTCTGGACAATTAGGTTATTGTTTCATTAATGTCCCTAATACAGTACTGAATTAATAAATCATGATATATCCATAAAGCAAAATAAGATGCAAATACTTTTTAAAATAAGAAAGCAAATAATCAAAAAGAAGGAATAAGCGCTAATGAAATAATATGCCACAAAACCTAATATATAATTTAGGCTGGATGCGGTGGGTCATGCCTGTAATCCCAGCACTTTGGGAGGCTGAGGCAGGCAGATCACTTGAGCCCAAGATTTCAAGATCAGCCAGGGTAACATGGTGAAACTCTGTTTCTAATCAAATATATATATATATATAGAGAGAGAGAGAGAGAGAGGCCAGCATGGTTGCCAGCGTCTTTAATCTCAGCTACTTGGGTGACTGAAGCATGAGAATCGCTTGAACCAGAGAGGCGGATTTTGCAGTGAGCCAAGATCGCACCACTGCACTCCAGCGAGGGTGACAGAGTAAAACTCTGTCAAAAAAAAAAAAAAAAATACATAATTTAAAGTGGAAAAACAAACAAAAAGTGCAGAAGGGTAGGTTTCTACTGTAATCACTTCTTTTTTTAAAAAAAGGAAGATGAAAGGCAGGCTGGGTGTGGTTGCTCATGTCTGTAATCCCAACACCTTGGGAGGCCAAGGTAGGAGGATCACTTGAAGCCAGGAGTTCAAGACTAGCCTGGGAAACAAGACGCCACTCTGTCTCTACAAAAATAAAACAAAATTAGCTGGGTGCAATGACATTCAGACTGTATTTCCAGCTACTCCAGAGGCTGAGACGGGAGGATCCTGTGAGCCCAGGACTGCAGTGAGCTATAATCCTGCCACTGCATTTCAGCAGCCTGGGTGATGGAGTGAGATCATCGTCTCAAAAGAAGAAAAAAGAAAAGAAAAGGAAAAGAAAGAAAAGGAAAGAAAGAAGGAAGGAAGGGAGGGAGGGAAGGAAGGAAGGAAGGGGCAAATTCTAAAATACATATATAGGTGATTTACAATTTGGTGATTGTAAATACACACACACATATATATAATTTGGCAATAATAATCTTGGAATATACAAAAAAAAACAAAACCGCTTCAGAAATTCGAAAAGGTAAAGTGAATGGTTTGGAGTTGGAGGAGACAACGAGATTTTTTACTATGTACTAGATTTCCCTCTTTGAAATTTTCGATGTGAATATATTTCTTATACAAACAAGGAACAAAATAAAAAATACTATTGAACTGCTATTTAAACTATTTTTAAATTGTTCATATTGATTCATCAAGAACATGGCAAATACATTTCAACAAAGTAAGTGAAAAAGAAGTCCGTACTACACAAATATGATAAAAAGAAGATAAATCGATATAAAAGAAATGTTTAAAATTCAGGTTCTAAATATAAAAAGGCAAAATTGAACAGATGATTTTGACACATATTTTATAAAATGAGGACAATACATAGAATAAAATATTAGGTAAAATATATATATTGAAATTTGTTTATTATAGCATTTATAAGTATTATCAAAATATGGAAATGTAAATACTTGATTTTGTAAATACACTATAGAAGAAAGGTGAATCCATTGATCCAGTTAGCAAAGTCTTTCTCCAAAAATAGAGAGTAGCCAACATAAACCATAGATTTTGATCTACAGTACTACGTATCCCAAAAGTGTATATTAAAAGTACTTCCAAATAATTAGTGCAAATACAGCATAACACTAAAAAGTAATAATTATGTACAAAGTTATCAACTAAAAAAGAAATTATGAAAGAAAATTTAAGGAGACAAATTGAACTAATTATTTTTAAAGTGTTGAAAGCAAGATTATTTACGACTCACATTGTCTGAAGAGGAGGGACCCTGAGGAAGGCTGGGACTGAAGGCCATGAGGTCTGTCTTGGGTGGGCCCTCCCCAGAGCACACCCTCTGCCGCCTCTGCTGGGAGAATGACCAGCTCCCCACCGCGCTGGAGCACACCAGAGTGGGCTTTACCAGACCACATGCAGCCTCGGAGGACGGCGCTGAGCACCGCAACGCCGTGTACAGCAGCAGGGTAAGCACCAACAGACTGGACACGGAGCAGATGGCGATGATCAGGTACACGTTGACATCCATCAGTGCCACCTCTGGGCCTGCAATGCCCACCGACGCCCGCGACGATGCCTTTGGCGCCTGGGCGCTTTCCACCAGCGACACCAGCACGGTGGCTGTGGCTGTCAGCGAGGGCTCTCCATGGTCCTTCACCAGCACCAGAAGGCGGTGGCGCGGTGCGTCCGTCTCATCTAGGGCTCGGGTAGTGCTGATCTCGCCAGTGTACAGCCCCACGCGGAACGGGATGCGCGCACTGGCGGCGACAGGTTGAAATTCGTACGAAAGCCACGCGTTGTAGCCTGAGTCAGCGTCAACTGCACGTACCTTCGCCACAACATGGCCCGCGCCCACAGACCGCGGCACAAGCTCGCTCACAGCGCCACCAATGCCACCCACCCGAGGCGCCAGCAGCACCGGCGCATTGTCGTTCTCGTCCAGCACGAACACCTGCAGCGTCGCGTTGCTGCTCAGAGACGGCACGCCCGCGTCGCGCGCGCTCACCTGGAACTGCAGCAGCTCCAGCTCCTCGTGGTCTAGCGGCTGCAGGGCGTACACCTTGCCGCTCTCCGCGTGCACCGACACGTAGCTCGACAGCGCGCGCTCGCCCACCCGCCGCTCCACCAGCGAGTAGGACACCAGCGCGTTCTCCTGCGCGTCCGCGTCCCCTGCCGACACTGTGAAGATGTGGCAGCCCGGTGGGTTGTTCTCCTTCACGAACACCGTGTACTTGGACTGCGTGAACGCCGGCGCGTTGTCGTTCACGTCGGCCACCTCCACAGACACGCTGGCCGTGGCCCACAGAGAAGGCGAGCCCCCGTCCCGCGCGGTCACCACCAGCTCATAGGCCGACACGCTCTCGCGGTCCAGGACGCTGTCCAGCACCAATGAATAGTAATTCTTGAAGGTGGACACCAACTTGAAGGGGACGTGGGGCGTCAAGAAGCAGGTAACCTGTCCATTGACTCCAAAATCTCGGTCAAACACGCTAATCAAAGTGATGACTGTACCTGGCTGGGCATCCTCTGAAATAGGGAGAGACAGGGAAGTGAGAGTCAACTGTGGAGCATTGTCATTTACATCCACAACTTCCACAAGAACTGTACAATGACCAGCCAGTGGTAGGAAGCCTTTATCGACAGCCTCTACTGGGATCTTGTGTGCTCTACTTTCTTCAAAATCCATATGTCCTATCACTGTGATTGCCCCACTTACGGGGTCCACGTGGAACTTGGATTTTATATCTGGAGAAACGTCACTGGAGAAGGAGTAAATAATATCTCCATTCAAGCCTTCGTCTAAATCTGAGGCATTGGGGTGAATCACCAGCGTTCCGATAGAAGCGTTTTCTGGTAATTTCACCGTATAGAGGGTTCTGTCGAACACTGGGGCATTGTCATTGACGTCCAGTACTGTGATGAGTAACTGAACGGTGCCAGTTAGTTCAGGTTTGCCCCCATCGGTGGCCGTGAGCAATAAATGAAGCTCCGGAGTTTCTTCTCTGTCCAAAAGTTTCCGTAATACAAGCCCAAGAGGTTTTACCTGCTGGTTGCTGGTTGGCACGTCCAGGGAGAAATACTCATTGGGGCTCAGTCTGTAAGTGAGCAAGGCGTTCTCCCCGATATCTGCATCGGACGCGCCCTCTAGTGGAAACCGAGAGTCAAGCGGCCTGGATTCCGCGATGAACAGGTTCTTTTGTGTCGCTGAGAACACGGGAGGGTTGTCGTTAATGTCCTTCACCTCCACGTCCACATGGAAAACCTGCAGCGGCCTGTCCACGATCACCTCCAGGTGGATGCTGCACTCTGCGCTCCGCCCACACAGCTCCTCGCGGTCGATCCGAGAATTCACAAACAAAATGCCATTCTGCAGATTTACCTCCAGAAGGTCCCCACGGAATTTGCACACCGCCCGGAACAGGCGCGGCACCAGCTCCGCCAGCTCCAGCCCCAGGTCCTGCGCGATGCGGCCCACGAAGGTGCCGTGTTTAGCCTCCTCGGGGACCGAGTAGTGGAGCTGGCCTCTCCCCGCCTCCCAAGTAGCTAGAATTGTAATAAACAGCAGTAGATGTCGGCGCCCTGGGTCGTATCCACTCCGGCACACCATTTCAGATTATTGGCGTTTTATTTTTCTAGTCAGCAAAACCTGCCTCCGAATTTATAGGAATGTTTTTATCCCTTCATTTCAATCTCGATGTGTGGCCATTGTTGTGCATCTGAAGAGTGAAAGAGAGTGGAGCGTCTTTCCAGTGCGAACAGGAATGACTTCCTTTTGTTGATTATGAAAGAATTTGCGGTAAAGAGCGACATCATGTGGCCCAAATGGTAAGTAAGAATTACAAACTATTAATCGGTTGAAAAGTTTTATTTCAAACTCTGAATTTTTTTCTTCATTGTTGTTAAAGGTTAAAATAGCATTTCTCATGCTTGTTAGAAGCATTCTTAGGCGACTGATGGCTTTTGAATACTTAGTGTGAACATAATTGTAGCTTCCTCATGCCTTAGAAAAACTTTTTTTCACACAGTTTTAAATAAAGACAGAAACCTAAGTGACAACATGAATCTAAACAACTGCAAGTTTAAATTCCTTTGATCTGGATCCCAGGAAACTTCATATTCTTGATTCAGTACCCCTTGTTAAGAAAAATCCTGTACTCTTTTAGGGACCCAGGATCTCAAGAATCTACTGATTGATGAAAGAGAAACTTAGAAAGGGGCGTGTGTGTGTGTGTGTGTGTGTGTGTGTGTGTGTTTTCTCTTTAGGAGGCAAGAAACATTAGCACCTATCTAGACACTTTTCTTGGGAAAACAAAATAAGAGAAGGTTTGGGGAATCTTTGAAGGGGAAGAATTTGTATCATGTGAACTTTCTGAGGAGGAAGTATTCTGAATTTTTTGCTTTAACAGAATCTAAATATACTGTTTCAGGAGTTCATGATTTTATATTTGTTTCCTCATTCTATCCTTTCAAACACTTGTGTGTTATGATATTTGCCTATTTATATAATCTCAAATATTATTTGTATTATTTCTTTTATAATATAAGTTTATTTTATTAGATAAATTTCAGTGCTCAGCCATCTCACATAAAGCAGCCCCTTGATCAAGTCTTGAGTTATTTCATCCTTTTCGGATCTACCTTACTGTGTTAGTTTTCTTGAATGTTTCACTCCAAAGTTCCCAACGGCAATGTAAAATAATTATGTCTGTATCCAGATGTTTTCCTAAATAAGTTTTCATAATTGCTGCTTTCCTGGAGTATTGCAGTGGCTCCTTATTGTGTAACCTGTCCATTCCTATTTCATTCTTCTTCATTTAATCCTTGCAGTCATTTTCCTTAAACACTTTTGATTCCCATTGCTTCACACTTTTTGACAGCTTTCAAACGACTTTTGAAGAGTGTCAAAATTACTTGTCTAGTACTCAAAGTTACCCAAAAAGTTTTTCTCATATTACTTTTCTTGCTTTATATCACAGTCTCTCTTACAGGAACCATGTGCTTTACCCAAAGTTGACTATTTCTTATTTCTAGGTACATTTGGAATTTTCCGTGTACTCACTTAAGTTACTCTCTTCTCAAGAATACCTATTAGTCTCCATATTCTCCCAGGAAAAACTCTTTCCATTTTATAACCAGTAAAACATCATGATTCTTCAAGGACTCCTTCAACAAGGGAAAAAGGCAAATACTTTTTTCTATTCCAATAACACTGTGAAGTACCTTTCTAGCACCTCTTACAATATTCTTCCTTTTACTATCATCGTATTTATGTAGGATATTTATCTTTATTTATCTATTAAATTTGAAGCCAGGGGCCGGGCGCGGTGGCTCAAGCCTGTAATCCCAGCACTTTGGGAGGCCGAGACGGGCGGATCACGAGGTCAGGAGATCGAGACCATCCTGGCTAACACAGTGAAACCCCGTCTCTACTAAAAAATACAAAAAAAACTAGCCGGGCGAGGTGGCGGGCGCCTGTAGTCCCAGCTACACAGGAGGCTGAGGCAGGAGAATGGCGTAAACCTGGGAGGCGGAGCTTGCAGTGAGCTGAGATCCGGCCACTGCACTCCAGCCTGGGTGACAGAGCGAGACTCCGTCTCAAAAAAAAAAAAAAAAATTTGAAGCCAGGGACTGGGTGTTGTTAATTCGATGATTCTCAGCAGGCACAGTGTGATACTCTTAAAGACCCCCCTAGAAACTCTTAAAAAAACATTTACTCACTAGCAACGCTGCAGTTCTCTACTTCCTAAGAAAGTATGCTGTTTTGAGATTGTTAGATATCATTATCTACACAAATGGTGATCTTCGGTATAATCAGAGACAATTCCATAACTCTTAAGTATGTAGAGGTAGTTTTTTAAATTTTGGTGCAATATTAATTATGTGCTTAAAAATTATCATGTACTTCTTTTAGAAAACAGAAATTACTACTAATGGTTTCTGCCATTTCAAGAATGGAAAATGCTCACATTAGGGAACACAAACCTCAACTCAGTCCTCTAATGGCCCTTAAGCAACTTTTAAATGTGGGCAAATACACCATTCAGGCTTACATAGTCTAATATTTCCTGGGAACGTGGACAACACAAAAAGTCAAAACCACCTTCAGGAAATCACTGAGGACTCAGCAGTTTAAATGTCTTTTGAATTCATAAAACTTTTCCACTGTCCAAGTCTTAATTCAATTTTCAACTTTGAAACACACATTTTAAATTACTTTTGATGTGGAACATGGCATTTAAAATGTTAGAGACATCTCGGATTAATTTGGTAATTATGGCCTCACTATGAATAACAAAAACTCAATCTTTACATAAAATGAAAACAATATGGAATCCGTAATGAGAGCTTCCTAACATACAATGACATAAAGTTTTTATTTTCCTCTTTGGAAAACTAGTAGCAAATTTTATTAAGCACTTACTATTTGGCAAACACAGCTATAAGCACCTTACAGTATCAACTTACTAAAGCTTTATGAAAATTCTATCATTGAAACTAGTGTTTATCACTCCAACTTTACAGAAGAAACTGAAATGGAGGTGAAACAATCCATCCACAAAACAAAATTGGTAGCAATGAAGTTTAGGCAAGGTAGGATAGCAACAAAAGTCACACCTAATCACTACTTTTTGCTGCTTTGCATTTAAAGAAATAATGAATAGCCAAGCATAGTGACTCACACCTATAATCTTAGTACTCTGGGAGGCCAAGGTGGGCAGATCACTTGCAACCAGTAGTTTGAGACCAGGCTGGGCAACATGGAGAAACCCCGTCTCTACAAAAAAAAAAAAAAAAAAAGTCGGTGGGCATGGTGGTGCTCGCATGTAGTCCCCGCTACTCCAGTGGCTGAGGTGAGAGAATCACTTGAGCCCAGGAACTCGAGGGTGCAGTGAGCCATTATTGCACCACTGTACTCCAGCCTGGGTGACAGAGCAAGACCCTGTCACACACACACACACAGAAAATAGTGAATAGTTTAAATTACTGTGTAGAAACAGTGAAAACATTAAAACAAAAAATAGATTTAGACTCCATGAAGAGAAGACCATCAAATGAAATTCAAACAGAAATAAGAGAGCTGCAATGCCACAGGAATGCAGTTTTCATATAAATTTACTTGATCACAAGGTCCAAAATCTCTTGAATCACTATTTTTCCAGTATTTAGATCAGTAGTAAATAAATCAACCATAACAACCAGAAGTATTCAGGCTGATAATTATTGTTTTTGTCCTTTATTCCTCAATGGTTTAAAAGGGGGACAATAAATAAACACTATTGTCTCCTGGAATCACAAGTCTGAAAGGGAACCACAGATAAAAAGTATGATGATCAGAGTTCTTACACAAAATGGATAAAATCAAAGTGTTAACTTAATAAAAGTCTCAGCAGAAAAACATTGAAATGGAAAGTGTAAAAGCATAAGTGATACAGTGGTGCTCAAATATCACTATATGATCAAAACAGAGTATATGTAAAAAAAAATTTCCTACAGCTCAAAGGCAAACAAATGAAAATCCTATATAATTAATCAGAGAAACATGCTACTAAGAATCTGAATCACAATGCAACAGAAAACGACATGTCCCAGAATATTTTGGTTTGAAGACAAAAATTCTGAGGTGCCGATTGTGGACAATTATTTCTAATTCCACTTAAATTACAAATATTAGAGAAGCAAAGAGATTATAATAAGAAACAGAATAAAATGAAAATACGTAAATTTTGTAAAATTAATTAAAATTAAAAACAGAAATATAGAAAACAAATCTGCGGAAAAAATTACGAATTTAAAATAAAAATTAACTATTATGAAAATTCACTTACTTTGGCATCATGATCTTCATTTAAAGCCTGATTCTCCGCCCTACCCATAACAGGACAAGGTGAAAGGCTGGGGCTGAAGGCCATGAGATCCATCTTGGGTGGGCCCTCCCCAGAGCACACCCTCTGCCGCCTCTGCTGCGAGTATGACCAGCTCCCCACCGCGCTGGAGCACACCAGCGTGGACTTGCCCGCCGTGCACGCGCCCTCGGCGGGCGGCGCCGAGCACCGCAGCGCGGCGTACAGCAGTAGCGTGAGGACCAGCAGGGTGGATACCGCACAGATGGCGATGATCAGGTACACGTTGACATTCACCAGCGCCGCCTCTGGGCCCGCGGCGCCCACCGACATCCGCGATGACGCTTTTGGAGCCTGGCCATTCTCCACCAGCGACACCAGCACCGTGGCCGTGGCCGTCAGCGCCGGCTCACCGTGGTCTTTCACCAGCACCAGCAGCCGGTGGCGCGGAGAGTCTGCTTCGTCCAGGACACGAGTCGTGCTGATCTCGCCCGTGTACAGCCCCACGCGAAACGGGAAGCGAGCGCTGCTTGCCACTGGCTGCAGCTCATACGAAAGCCACGCGTTGTAGCCCGAGTCGGCGTCCACGGCGCGCACTTTCGCCACCACTTGGCCCACACCCACCGACCGCGGCAACAGCTCGCTCACTGCACCACCAGTGCCACCCACCCGAGGCGCCAGCAGCACCGGCGCGTTGTCGTTCTCGTCCAGCACGAATACCTGCAGCGTCACATTGCTGCCCAGAGGCGGCACGCCCGCGTCGCGCGCGCTCACCTGGAACTGCAGCAGCTCTAGCTCCTCATGGTCCAGCGGCTGCAGCGCGTACACCTTGCCGCTCTCCGCGTGCACTGACACGTAGCTCGACAGCGCGCGCTCGCCCACCCGTCGCTCCACCAGCGAGTAGGACACCAGCGCGTTCTCCTGCGCATCCGCGTCCCCCGCAGACACAGTGAAGATGTGGCAGCCCGGCGGGTTGTTCTCCTTCACGAACACCGTGTACTCGGACTGCGTGAACGCCGGCGCGTTGTCGTTCACGTCGGCCACCTCCACGGACACGCTGGCCGTGGCCCACAGCGAAGGCGAGCCCCTGTCCCGCGCGGTCACCACCAGCTCATAGGCTGACACGTTCTCGCGGTCCAGGGCGCTGTCCAGTACCAACGAGTAGTAATTCTTGAAAGTGGACACCAGCTTGAAGGGGACATGGGGCGTCAAGGAGCAGGTTACCTGCCCGTTGACACCTGAGTCAAGGTCGTTCACGCTAATTAGGGCGATGACAGTACCGAATTGAGCGTCTTCACGTACAGGCAAGGATAAGGAAGTCAATGTTATCTCAGGGACGTTATCATTTTTATCCAAAATTCTCACTAAAACGGTGCAATGACCCGCCATGGGAGGATGACCTTTGTCCGTTGCGTCAACGCGGATTTTGTATAAATTTACTTGTTCAAAATCCAAATTACCCCGAATCACTATTTCTCCTGTATTTCGATCTATGCTAAAGTGGTCAATAACCATGGCTGCAACAAGGCTATTAAAAGAGTATGAAATGGCCCCATTCGCTCCTTCATCCCGATCAGAAGCATTCAGTCTGATAACTGTTGTTCCGTTGTCTGCGTTTTCGAATATTCTTACTTCGTATTCAGACTGTTCGAAAGTGGGAGCATTATCATTCACATCCAGCACTGTGACCAGCAGGTGAACAGTGCCTGTGAGCTCAGGTTTGCCGCCATCTGTGGCTGTCAGGAATAAGTTGTGTGCAGGAGCGTCCTCTCTGTCCAAGGATTTCCTTAATATGAGCCCAATTTGTTTATTGTCATCACTGTTTATTTTCACATCTAGCCCGAAGTATTCGCTAGAACTGAGTTTATAGGTTAAGACGGAATTTGAGCCCACATCTGCATCTGACGCGCCCTCCAGTGGAAACACAGAATCTGGCAGCCTAGATTCGTAAATCAGCACTCTTTGTTCCTCTACCGGGAACAAGGGCGGGTTGTCGTTAATGTCCCTCACCTCTACGTCCACATGGAAAACCTGCAGCGGCCTGTCCACGATCACCTCCAGGTGGATGCTGCACTCTGCGCTCCTCCCGCACAGCTCCTCGCGGTCGATCCGAGAATTCACAAACAAAATGCCATTCTGCAGATTTACCTCCAGAAGGTCCTCGTGGTTTTTGGAGGCCATCCTGAACAGGCGCGGCACCAGCTCCGCCAGCTCCAGCCCCAGATCCTGCGCGATGCGGCCCACGAAGGTGCCGTGTTTGGCCTCCTCCGGGACGGAGTAGTGGAGCTGGCCGCTCCCCACCTTCCAGGCTGCGAGGAGCAGAAACGGGAGGAGCAGACATTGCTTTCCCAATCTGTCTTCCAGGGTAAACACCATGTCAAATACCTCTTGTTTTATTTCCATTAGAAGATCTTCCGCATAAAGATAAAATACTGTAAGTTCCGGAATTTATTAATCCAATTCTTCTGCGTCCGCCATCATTCAACAGTCAGGGAATGATGCAGTAATAGAAGAAATTTGAATGGTGGCTAGCTATAACTTCATGGTAGACAGCGACATCATGCGGCTCCAAAAGGTAAGAAATTAATTCACATAACAGTGCTATACTATATATTTTTTAAATGTTATCTTCTTTTCTCTACTTTTACAGTAAATCCTCCTCACGTTTGTAATTTGCACAGGCAGTGGAATCTTAGTACCCTTAGAGTAAGGGATCTAATTATTCACAGCTAAACAATTTTTCTACCAGTATTTGCAACATTAGTATTAGCCAGTTTAGCAAATTTAAGTGTTTACGAAACTACTCTTTAAATCAGAAATGTAAACTATTCTACACACTTTTAGAAAAGAAACTTACCCACATATGTCTGTCATAGGACGTGCTATTATATAGTGCTCTAGGGAAAAATGTAACTTAAAATCATCAAATTTTGGTTGAATTTTTAAAGCTTTATGGATTGTTGAAGTCCATGCTTTCTTTGTTCAACAAATACCAGATGCTCTTAAGGTTCTTTTGTGTAATGATGGAAGATAAAATTCTAGAGCATATTCTTTATCGCATTTAATTTATCTGCAGCTTATATTAGGATTCTCGCTTAAAATATTCTTTTCATATACTTTACCACTTCAATTCTAGTGGAATTTCTACCCATTGTGCTTTGCTGTTTTTGATTCTACAGCTGTTCTTAAATGATCTCATTCTTTTCTCTCAACTTCAACTCTGTCCTATATCCTTTCCTTTAATTGTTCTCACTCACTTCCAAGTTTTGAATAAGACTTTTATTGAGGTACTTACAAATCCATATCTTCATCCCTTCTTTCTATGTTTCTAATTGTCATTTTCACCTATACATGCTGACTCCTAGAAAACAGCTTGTTAAATATCAAAGCATGACCAATTATTAATAATCCCCAAATTCAAATTTTCAAATTCATATTTTTAATAACATGAGTATTTCCCATGTCACTTATATTACTTTTTAAATTACTCCTTTTCCCTGGCTTGCCTTCTTCCACATCCACCTAAGTCCATCTGTCTTTCACATGTTATCATATTTATCTTTATGAGTACAGCTTTCATTGAATTTTACTAAACCTAGAAATTCCAAGACATTTTAGAAACTTCTAGTAACCTAATATGTAATCACATATTAGGTGATCAACTTTTTGAAGGTTATTTTCAATTACTCTCCAATATGAATCTTATTTTTCTGACAATACAGACCACTTGCTCTTCCTCTTTCCCAATACCATGTTTGTTTTAGCTGGATTTTTAAATTACATCTACATTTACCTGCAAAAATGTTACCCTCACATAAAAGTCAAGGCCAAATATCAACTTCACCCTTAATTTAACCTTAATGTTATCCATTGGAAGTGATTGAACCCCTCCTTGAAAGAAAATTAGAGCCACCAATAAGACTTTTCAAATTACATGATCATCTTCACCTTACTCCGAAATTCTGATATACAGTAAAATGCCTCACAGATTATTGTAACACAAAAGCCTTTTCTTCCGTGTGAAATTCTATCTTAAAATAATTAACCTGGATCTATTAAGTAGTTCTTATCACTGACTTTCTATTGCAGTTATTTTGGGCAAACAAAGGGTTCAATTTCCTAACCAAAAACAATCCCCAAAACAAGAGGTTCCTATAAAAAAGATAAACTGCACAAAATATATATAAAGACTTGATATGTAAAGAGATATATAAATAGTTTATATCACAGAATAAGACAACTTGATTTTTAAAAATTTGACCGTGGTTAACTGTAGATTTACAGAGTGATAAAAACTATTTCTCAATTTCTAGGACTTCCTCAGAGTAGCTCAGGATATTAGGAATATATAAATAGCATCATAGAAGGGTATTTATAAAATTAAATGCCTATGAGAATAAAAGAAACAGACAAAGCAACAGAAAGAGGGAATTCACATTTTATCATGTAAAGTGTAGACTAGTTATTACCTATAAACCCACACTTTTCCCCTCAAAAGAGTAGAAAAACGGTTCTCATTATTTCAGATGGAGAGGACACTTGTCTAGAGTGGTCTCAAACATACAGCTTTAACAAACAACTCTTTGTAAACAACTCAAGAGGGCAGTTTGTATCATGGTATATTTATTTTTTTAATCTAAAAATGAAAAGTAACAACAAGCAGTAAAATTTCCCAACCAAAATATAGCAGAATTTGCACAACTGAGGGGGTTCACAATTACTCCTCATCAATATAATAATTTAGGCTGGGCATGATGGCTCATGCCTGCAATCCCAGCACTTTGGGAGGCCGAGGCGGGTGAATCACCTGAGATTAGAAGTTCAAGACCACCCTGACCAACGTGGTGAAACCCCATCTCTAGTAAATACAAAAAATTAGCCGGGTGTGGTGGCACATGCCTGCAATCCCAGCTACTTGGGAAGATAAGGCAGGAGAATTGCTTGAATCTCAGAGGCTGAGATTGCACCATTGCACTCGTTTGGGCAACAAGAGGAAAATCCCGTCTCAAAATATCTAATATATATTAGATATATAATTTATAAATCGAAAAATATGCAAGTTTCCAGAAAATTAAATCATTGTTCTACTAAATGTTAATGTTAAGATAAGGGAAAAATAACCGATCGTATTTCTACACAATGGAACACCATAGATCCAAATAAAAGAAAAACAAATCTACTTCAGTAATGATAATTCATGATCATCAAGATATGTTAGTAAATGAAAAAAGCAAGATTAAAATCAATACTCATATGTTTTTTAAGGGGGTAGGGAAGTTTATTAGCATATGATAAAAATCTCTGGAAGGATACCCAAGAATGTTTTGATTTCATGAAGGAGGTGAAAGGGAAAATTACACTGTCTTCTTTTGCACCTTTAGAACAGTAAACTATGTATATGTGTTTCCTATTCAAAAGATCAATAAAATGAAAAATGTAATTTTTAAATTACAGTTATCAAATTCATCATGGGTATACAGGTGAACCGCTTAGGCAAAGTTGAAATAAACCATATACTGCAAAAATATAATTGAAAACAGAAACTACATTAGTGTAATAAAATAATAATTTAAATTCAACAGAAACAAAAAGGTAAAATTGGAAGGGTGGTGTTAAAACATTTTTATAGGCCAGGCACTCTTGCTCAATCCTGTAATCTTAGTGCTTCGGGAGGTTGAGATGGGAGCATGGCTTCTAACTAGGAGTTCAAGAACAGCCTGGGCAAAGTAGCAAGACCCCTATCTCTAGAGAAAAAAAAAACTTTAATTAGCATGTGCATGTAGTCCAGCTACTTGGGCGGCTGAGATGGGAGGATCACTTGAGCCCACGAGTTTCAGGCTTCAGTGAGCTATGATCAGGCCACTGCAGACTGAGCAATAAAGGGTCTTTAAAAAATAATAATAAAATAAAATAAATTTTCATGGAGTCATAAACTGAGACTTTGAGAATGACTCCAAACTATGTCTTACAATTATTATCCTACATTTTTAGAGATGCGAAATTCAAATGCTAATATAATTTTAAAAATACTTAATATCACAGAAAGTTGATGAATCTATTACCCTAACAGAAAAACATCATAAAAAGCACATAGTACATGAATTAGTGCAACAATTGTGTACTACAATATTTATGTACTAGGGCGTAATTTTCAAAAAAAACTGGGTGAATGTGACACTTAGTATTTAAAAATTGGGAGGGAAAGTTGGATGTTAATATCAGAAAACTCACGTTGTCTGCAGAGGCGGGACCCTGAGGAAGGCTTGGACTGAAAGCCATGAGGTCCGTCTTGGGTGGGGCTTCTCCAGAGCACACCCTCTCCCTCCTCTGCTGTGAGCAGGACCAGCTCCCCACCGCGCTGGAGCACACCAGAGTGGGATTGCCCCGCGTGCACACGACCTCGGTGGGCGGCGCCGAGCACCGCAGCGCGGTGTACAGCAGCAGCGTGAGCACTAACAGGCTGGACACTGCACAGATGGCGATTATCAGGTACACGTTGACATCCACCAGGGCAGCCTCGGGACCCACAGCGCCCGCCGACGCCCGCGATGAGGCCTTCGGCGCCTGGCCACTTTCCACCAGCGACACCAGCACTGTGGCTGTGGCTGTCAGCGCGGGCTCTCCATGGTCCTTCACCAGCACCAGAAGGCGGTGGCGCGGTGCTTCGGTCTCATCCAGAGAGCGTGTTGTGCTGATCTCGCCTGTGTACAGCCCCACGCGGAACGGGATGCGCGCACTGCCAGGCTCTGGCTGCAGCTCATACGAAAGCCACGCGTTGTAGCCTGAGTCGGGGTCCACTGCGCGCACCTTCGCCACCACTTGGCCCGCACCCACCGACCGCGGCACCAGCTCGCTCACTGCGCCGCCGGTGCCACCCACCCGAGGCGCCAGCAGGGCCGGCGCGTTGTCGTTCTCGTCCAGCACGAACACCTGCAGCGTCACATTGCTGCCCAGAGGCGGCACGCCCGCGTCGCGCGCGCTCACCTGGAACTGCAGCAGCTCCAGCTCCTCATGGTCCAGCGGCTGCAGCGCGTACACCTTGCCGCTCTCCGCGTGCACCGACACGTAGCTCGACAGCGCGCGCTCGCCCACCCGCCGCTCCACCAGCGAGTAGGACACCAGCGCGTTCTCCTGCGCGTCCGCGTCCCCTGCCGACACTGTGAAGATGTGGCAGCCCGGTGGGTTGTTCTCCTTCACGAACACCGTGTACTTGGACTGCGTGAACGCCGGCGCGTTGTCGTTCACGTCGGCCACCTCCACAGACACGCTGGCCGTGGCCCACAGAGAAGGCGAGCCCCCGTCCCGCGCGGTCACCACCAGCTCATAGACCGACACGCTCTCGCGGTCCAGGGCGCTGTCCAGCACCAACGAGTAGTAATTCTTGAAGGTGGACACCAGCTTGAAGGGGACGTGGGGCATTAGTGAGCAGGTCACCTGCCCGTTAGCACCTGAGTCACGGTCAGACACGGTGATCAGCGCAATGACCGTGCTGACTGGAGCGTCCTCTTTCACAGGCAGGAAAAGGGAGGTTATGGCCATCTCTGGGGTATTATCATTCACATCCAGGAGTTTCACTACTACTTTACAGTGTCCTGTTAATGGGAATGCACTTTTATCCATGGCATCAATATTAATTTCATATGAGTTACAGACTTCATAATCCAGTTCCCCCTTAACTTTTATTTCACCAG